ATGTCCACAATTTGAGTGGAGCAACAGTATAGCATCTAACTACAGTATGCTTTTTTACAGTTAAGTATCAGTCTGTGTGCTGTGCTTTTAAATTGAAAAGCATGTTACTGATCCACTTCATCATTCAATACACAACTTCAATTTACTCTGGAAGGTGAAAAACGGTCAAGGCTGAAACATAAAAGAAATACATGGCAAGCCTTCTGGTTTTAACTTAAGAGCTTATATGTACATAAGATGTAATTCATGCTTGCAAAAATATACATGTAAAATTTAGGAAATAATTACAAAACAAAAAATAAGAGTGAAAGAAACAAATCAATTACACTGCAACAAAAAATTTTGAAAAGAAGAGTGAAAGAAAGAGATCCAAAAGAATGATTTTCAATGGACATTATTTCAAGTCTTCAACATCATCTTCAACCGCTTTTAAGCTTAACACATCACTCAATATAGAAATCACAAGTTTTTTATATTATTTTTCAGGTTTCACTCAATTAATAAACAAAAGATGTACATAGTAATAAGTAGATGACAAACATAAATGAACAAATTCATAAAAAGTCTGCAAAAGTATTTTTAAAAGTTCAGTGATCATTAAGAGGATATCACCTCTAAATGATCAGTTTAGCAAACATTAATAATACTCCTACCCCTGAGGAGAGCTTACAATATTATAACAACAACAAAAAAAACCCATAATATTTTGGTGAGGACCATTCTGTATTAACCATGAAAAGCTTTAAAAATATGTTGACATTTGACTTGGTAATTTCACCTACAGAAACTTTTCACTAGAAAATATGTGTGACAAACTTAGAGATATTCATGAGAAACCTGTTTATAACTGCAAAGACTAGACACAAGCTATTAAATAAATTATGAACATAAAAAGCTTACTATATTTGACATAAGCGAATACGCTAAATGATGAAATGTCAAATGCTTCCCCTCCACCCCAGGTCAAGAACAAGACAACAGAAGGCGCTTTCACTGCTGAGTGCCTGGGGTTCAATCCCTGGTTAGGGAACTAAGATCTTGCAGGCCGCGAGGCATGGCCAACAAAAAAAAGAACAAGACAAGACTTTATACTCTGATCACTTCTATTCAACATTACATAAGAAATAAAAGGGGATCTGCCAGGCCAAACTATTTCCATAATAAAACTAAGATTATTTGCCTTTTTCATCGTGTTGGCATCTGCACTAATGGTGCAGAAGCAATGATGTTACGTAAAACTGCTGGCAGTGGAACCAAACTGTACTAGTAAAATTTTCTTCACTATCAGGCACTTGCACAAAAGAAAGAAAAAGTAGCACCTGTACTTCCTACTGTTCTTCCAACAACAACTGGTCAACACAATTCTGATGCTAACTACCTGGAGTCAGCACCAGCCCCCATTCTGAAGGCAGAGTCCACAAGACTGCCCTCACTTTACATGCCACCTGGACTTCTGGCCAACTGGCTGTAAATCTGGGAGGCTCCTAAGGCCCCTTTAGATTTGAAAATTTCCTAGAATGATTCAGAGAACTCAAGAAAGCGCTATACTTATGATCAGTTTTATTTAAAGGATGCAAATCAGGACCAGCCAAATGAAGAGACATACAGGGTGAGGAAGGGTCACAATGCCAGAGCTTCTGTGCCCTCTCTCTGAGGAAGCGGGTAGCGTCACCCACCTGGCACAGATGAGTTTTTACTGGGTTTCATCGTGTGGGTGTGACTGGTGGGATTATTCGCTGCGTGTGACTGGACTCAATCTCCAGCCTCTCTCCCCTCCACGGAGGCTGGGCTGGCTTAAAGGCACAACGCTCAAATCACACGATTGTGGTCTTTCTGGTGACCCTCAGCCTTAATCATTAGTTATTAGGAATCTGGTAAATGTCAAGGATTTATTCTCTCTCCTAAGAACCAGGGACAAAGGCCAGTGAAATTATTTATTATGCAACAGAAGTCCTTAGTGAAAAGGTAAAACTTAGTATTAATTTTACTAAATTTCAGCCTCTGACTACATCTTAATACTCTGTATGATGAACAGGGAAGCATCCAGAAGCCACTTGTTTCATACCACAGAACAATAAGAAGAGTGGAAAAGCACTTGTAAAATTGTTGCACTGCAAGCTGAACTAGCCTAAAGGAATGACAAAACAAACTGGTTATTGACATTTTCTTAAAATAAGCCTTTCACTTCAAAAAAATAACAGTATTCGTTGCCAATGAGAAAATTTGAGCTTTTGAGCGAAAATCAGAATCTTTGAAAACCTGCATCCACCACTGCTAGCGTGACAGCTTTCTAAGGTGTCAACATTTAGAAGACCTAGGTAACTCAGTAAATCAACACTTTCCAAATAATCAAAGCACAATGTTACCAAATCATACAAAGGTAAAATTCATTCCAAGATAAATGAATTTTAATGTAATAAAGCATGAAAAGTTCATTACATAGTTTCAGATTCCACACTGTAAGAACTTTTAAGAAACTACCACTTATCAAGTTTTGGTGCTGTGTCAAAAGGAAAAGGAAAAAACTATCCATAATTAACTAAAAAGGCTACTAAAATATTGCTCCATTCTACAGCCACATATGTATGTGAGGCCAGATTTTCTTCTTATACCTCAAATAAAAGAAGATATTGCAACACATTCAATGTAGAAACAGATTTGAGGAGCTAGATATACCTTGCTGTTTTCTATTAAGCCAGACTTAAAAAAAATCGTGGGGCTTCCCTGGTGGCGCAGTGGTTGAGAATCTGCCTGCTAATGCAGGGGACATAGATTCGAGCCCTGGTCTGGGAAGACCTCACATGCCGCGGAGCAACTAGGCCAGTGAGCCACAACTACTGAGCCTGCGCATCTGGAGCCTGTGCTCCGCAACAAGAGAGGCCACGATAGTGAGAGGCCCGCGCACCGCGACGAAGAGTGGCCCCCGCTCAATGCAACTAGAGAAAGCCCTCGCACGGAAACGAAGACCCAACACAGCCAAAAATAAATAAATAAATAAAATTTTAAAAATAAAATGCTTTATAAAAAAATTTTTAAAAAAGATTTGTGTAACTGTAATACATCACTTTTCACGAAATTTCTTTAGTGAAAGTAGTTATCTTTCATTAAAAATACATCACATAATAATTTTGTTAAATGAATACCTTTTAAATTTAATTTCTAATATGATAACAGATTAAAAACAAAACAAAAAACTTTGGGATCCTCAATCACTTCCAAGAGTGAAACTGAGACCAAAAAGTTTGAGAACAACTGTCCTATAGAAATACTAAACAATATAAACAAAAACATTTAGTGTGTAGAGTTTCAATAGTAAAAAATGAAAAGCCATATAAATGCTTAAAAAGTAGAGGAATAAATATCTCAGACAAAGGAATATTTTATAGCCACTGAAACCTCTACTTTTAAAATGACATAACAGGGGCTTCCTTGGTGGCGCAGTGGTTGAGAGTCCGCCTGCTGATGCAGGGGACACAGGTTCGTGCCCCGGTCCAAGAAGATCCCACATGCCACAGAGCGGCTGGGCCCGTGAGCCATGGCCGCTAAGCCTGCGTGTCTGGAGCCTGTGCTCCGCAACGGGAGAGGCCACGACAGTGAGAGGCCCGCGTACCACAAATAAATAAATAAAATAAAATTTAGATTAAATAAATCAAGAGAACACAAAACTAAATACAATATGCTCTAAATTCTATTTTTACAACCAGAGGCAAAAGACTGAAAGCAAACAAACCAAAATTTTAAGTTGTCAATCACTTCTACTTAGTGAGGTAGGTGACAGATACTATTTTCTTATTTCTAACTATGATTTCCTTCAAATGTTCTGTAATATTCTCATAACCAGAGAAAAAGATTAATTTAAAAAAATTTTTTAAGAAAAAAAATACTAGCATTCCATGAAAACAACAAGTGATTCGGTTCTTAGTTCTAATTACTTTCCAGTCCTTTCCTAAAATTCTAAGTTGGTCAATAGCTAAAAGCACTAAAATGACCCAAAACAAACAAACACAAACAAAAACAAAAAACAAACAAACAAAAACCTGAAAAAACAAACAGCACACCAAGTCATGAAAAATCCACTAAAAAGATTTGCTAAATTTTAAATAATTTTCATTATATTTTACCAGAACACAGCTGGCCTCATAAGAGTCTTTAAAATACAGGTATCTGATTTGGGACTATCCTGGCGGTCCACTGGTTAAGACTCAGTGCTTCCACTGCAGGGGTTCAATCCCTGGTCAGGGAACTAAGATCCTGTATGCCACGTGGTGCGGCCAAAAAATAGGAGAAAAAAACAAGTCTCTGATTTAAAGGTAAGAAAGTTTTCTAAATTTAAAATGAAGCAACTAATAAAATGCTGATTTAATACCAAAAATCAGAGACAAGCAGTCTAAAAGTAAACACTTGAAAAGCAAAAATTGAAAGGTCAGGTTATGTAATTACAAACTGAATAAAATTTAATTGTTATGTAATATTACTTTCCTTTAGTTCTTCACTATCCATCTTTTTTTTTTTTTTTTTTTTTTTTTTGGGCGGACCGCGGGCCTCTCACTGCTGTGGCCTCTCCAGGCTCCGGACGCGCAGGCTCAGCGGCCATGGCTCACGGGCCCAGCCACTCCGCGGCACGTGGGATCTTCCCAGACCGGGTCATGAACCCGTGTCCCCTGCATCGGCAGGCGGACTCTCAACCACTGTGCCACCAGGGAAGCCCCACTATCCGTCTTTTTATTCTATGACTTTTACATTAAAATAAAGATGCTAGTAAACAAAGATGGAGGTAGTCGTTATGGGAGTTTTCAATTAAAACACTTCACATATAAATCACATTGGTTAAAATAGAGTAGACTGCACAGTTTTTTTTAGCAAAAAATTCTATTTTAATATGAAAGTTAACAAAAAATATTTCACATATAGAATAAAATAGATATAGGTACTAAAAGTAACAGCCAAAAGTTTATTTACTTAGCGTGGAAAGAAAATATTTAGTATCACTTACTGCTTACCAGGATTGTGATGAGCTGTAAATCCTCCGTTCTGAAATACGTCTCCTGCCACATTCATTCTACCAGGATTAAAAGGTCCTACTGCAGTCTTGGTCTGTGAAGTTAAAGACGGGGTGTATGTTTGCATATTAACACCAAAGTTACTCGACTGCAGTCCGTTAGCGACATCTCCCAAGCTGGTATTCTATAGTGATGTTATATTTGTAATCATTAAGTTCATATCTCGCCCATCATTCAGAGCTTAATACCTGTTTCTAAGGTTGTAACATTAGTAATATGAATTTCAGAGTCGATTCTGTAGTGATAACACCATTACCCATTCCAGCATTTACCTTACTTCTTGAAAGACTGGAAGTGGAGAAATCCAAATCTTTGGTTCTGTTTTTACTTCCAGGAAGTGCCCATTCAATAAAACTAGAAGAAATTGTCTTTTCCTTTCCATTTGTTTCCATGTCCTCTTCATCATCAATGACAATTGTCTCACTTATACTTCCCTTCTGAGAAGCCAAACCTCTTGAGGAAGGAAGAATTATGGAATAATTTCCTTGTAGCTTTTCATTTCTTGATGCAGCAAATATAAAATTTCTTTGATCAGCTATTATTGGAGCAGAATCTGAAGGAGGTTGTATAGAGTCAATAAATACAACATCATCATCATCCTCCGCTGACGAGTTTCTAGATCTATTAACTAAAGGACTAGCTGGGTCACCAAATGCCACGTCCATGAAACTAGCTGCCATGGCTTTACTCCCTAATAAAACAGGAGTCTGTTCAGTCAAGTCTAATCCTCCCGCTGAACATTTATCTATGCCAAAGAACCTATAACAGAGAGAAGAGAAAAAAAAGTTCTAGTGTACTATGATCATTGCATTTTATTGCAATTAAATAGCACAAGTGAAATTTTAAATTATTTGATGTGATTTTATCTAAGTCCTTCCTTGAAACAGAAAATTGTTCAAAATAATTCCATCAATTACCAATAACTCAGGGTCCAAATACAATCACTATACTAAATATACTTTTATCTACTAAAATGACTACGATATTGTCCAAACTCTATTTCCCTAGGGTCTTCTGTCATTGTTTTTCAAATTCTCTGCTTCCAACATTAAACCTTTCTGGATCTTCTTTTTTTTTGTCCTTGTTGAGGAATCCACCAGACACTATGCTATAGGTTTTTTATACAAAATTCTGAAAAACCCATGATGTAGACATAATTTAATTCATTTTACAGATTAGGAAACGACACTGGGTAAGGCCAAATAGGACTCAAACTCAGGGCTCTAACTCTAGGCTCCAAATTCTTAGCCACTTTGTTTTATTCAGCAAACACCTCTGTGTACCTACTATGCACTAGAGAATGACAAATGAAAGGATCCAGCAGAGACATAGTTGGAAGAATCTGCAGAAGTGACCAACCAATGAAGCACAGCTCTGAAAGCAGATGAGAGAAGAGGAAGAGGAGGATGCGTGCACAGCTGGTAGTGAAACTGATCATGAACAAAAGTCACCTTTATCTCAAAAGTGAGAGGGGAAAAGGTAAGTGTATGGCTGCCCCTTGGTGTCCACGGGGGGACTGGTCCCAGGATATCCATGGATGCTCAAGTCCCACAGTTAGCCCTCCGAATCCAAGGTTCCATATCTGCAGATTCAACCAACCCTGGATCGTGCAGTACTATAGCATTTACTGAAAAAAATCTATGTATAAGTGGATCCCTGCAGTCCAAACCCACGCTGTTCGAGGTTTTGTCCAGTTGTAATTAGAACGTATATAAATATGTAGAAATAATAGATGGAAAGCTGAGGTAAGTTTATACATCCTGGCTTCAATTTCTTAGAAGCTCAAGACAGTGAAGGAGGTAGGATCTGTATGGATGTTGAATAATAAAGAAAAGTCACTCATACAGCAGTCATCATTCAATTTTAAACATCTCATATTGAAATATACTAAGTAACATTCTATTCTAAAATTTTCCCAACTAATTTTAAGTGATAGTACTTACAGTCATACATTCGGTAATGTTTATTCTTAATAGGTGCTAGCTATGCCGTTAAATAGAGCAATTCAGTAAATGCTTATAAAGGTGAGGCAGGAACTATTCTTTTCCCCATTTTACCCATCAGGAAACTAAGACTCAGAAGATAAGTAATCCGCCTGGCCCGCCCAAGTCTCCACTGCTGGAAAGGGTAGAGTCAGGACTCAAATCCAAGAAATCTGACTCTATAATCTATTTCATAGCCACTACACTATGTGCAATTACTGTATACAATTTTTTAAAAAGTTACTTGTTTTATTAAGATGAGTGAATTCATTAAAACAAAATAAACATTCAAATAACTCTAGTTCAAAGATAAAGAAATAACAAACCTAAGGAACCAGTTTAAAAGGGCTATAAAGGAAATACAAAAATTAGGATCATGGTGAACACTCATCCAGTAAGCTTATTATGTGGTTGATTTTCAGAGAAAAGAGGCAATAATTCAGCCTAAACTGAATTATGAAATGTAAGAGCTGTTATATATGAATTCTCTCAGTCCTTTCTGTATCTGAATAAACCTAGAACAGAAAAGAACAATTTCTGGAAAAGAGCTATAGCTGACTCCACAGTACCCTCTGGTGGCGGTTAGGCCCTATTTTAATCTTCCCAAAGAAAATAACAGAGCATTCTTTATGCTCAGCTCATTGTAGTCATCTACTGCTGATAAAAGATTAAGTATTCACCTATTTTCAAATTCCAGATTGTAAAAAAAACTAAAACCTAACCCTAACCACTATTAAAAGTCATTGTGTATATAATTTAACCATCAAACACTTTCTTAATTCCATAAACATAAGACTACAAAAAAGTTTTAACCATGTCTATAACATTGTCTAAAAAGAGAAAAAGTTATAGTTTAGCTAAGACACTGAGCCAATTACCTCACTTCATTGAGTTTTACTTTTCTCAACTATAAACTGCAAATGGGGATAAAAAGGACTCTGAGGTTTTAACTGTGATAAGTGAACTTGCAAGTCCCTAGTTCTCTGCCTGGACATATTACAGAGTGCAAAAAATGTTAAATCCCTCTCCACTGAGAGGGTATTCAGGCAAATACTTTGCCTACTCCTTAGGATTTCAACAAATGTCTAGTTAATCTTAAATATTTACCTACTCTTCCTGTGGTATCTTATTCATCTACAACTATTTAATGTTTAATTGATCTTCATTTTGATGCAATGAAAATTAATATAAAATCAAAGGAAAATCCACACAGAGAAGTGCAGAATCTAATGGGCGTTCCCTGGTGGCCTAGTGGTTAGGATTCCAGGCTTTCATTGCTGTGGCCCACGGTTCAATCCCTGGTCGGGAAACTGAGATCCCACAAGCCTCGCAGTGCAGCCAAAAAAAAAAAAAAAAGGTTGTCCTAAGAACAGAAAGTTAGGCTGAAACCCGAGCAAGACTTAAACGCAAACTATCTCTAGGTTGTGGGTAACAACCCTGCAAAGTTAAGAAGGTATTTAATTAGGGGTAAAAACAAGAGTTAACAGTAAAACAAAGACACAAATAAGGGTAGTTTGCCCTATTGTGTTTACTTTTAGTAACATCTCATAGCAGTTTTTATTTCCTAAAGGTTGCTACAATTATCTTTTTTTTCAAAAATTATGGTAAAATATATATAACATAAAATGCCATTTTAATTATTTTTAAGTGTGCAGTTCAGTGTTAGTTTTTTAAATATGTTTTTTTTTTTTTGCGGTACGCGGGCCTCTCACTGTTGTGGCCTCTCCCGTTGCAGAGCACAGGCTCCGGACGCGCAGGCCCAGTGGCCATGGCTCACGGGCTCAGCCGCTCCGCGGCATGTGGGATCTTCCCGGACCAGGGCACGAACCCGTGTCCCCTGCATTGGCAGGTAGACTCTCAACCACTGTGCCACCAGGGAAGCCCCTTAAATATGGTTTTTCAAAGTTGCAAAAATTTCTGCTGAATTCTTAAGTTATAACTGAGTATCATGAATTTTCCTGAGATCACCTTCTATTAAAAAAAAAAAACCAATTGAATAATTTAGTAGCCATTCAATATTCAATTATGTTTGTGTACAATTAAGTAAAACTTACATATTAAAACGAATCAGTTAAAACAGCTGCTAAAATAGAAATGGTGAGATATTAATATGACAAGATTAGTATGTGATGAGAACGGTAAACTAACCTGCTCATGAGTCTTCAAATGTTAAAATCACCACGGAAGTATTTTCAATTATTTAATTATTGCTTCAAAGGTTCATTTTTTGGCCACCTATAAGCACACCCATATTTTTGCGGCTCTATAAAAGATAAAGGATGCATACGCTACAGAAACCTGTTGAACACTAATGAGTTTTACGACATGTTCTACAGCACCTCTGGACTTAACATTGTCACAGATCTTTCTTAATATTAAAATATTTATATGTTTACATAAAAATAACATCAATTCCAAAGCCAGCTTCATGATAGTGAGTATATACTACAAGCATTCCCACTTAAAATCAGAAACAAAATAAAAATGTATGATGATTCTGGAGGTTTTACTCACAAGTGTAATGAAACAGGAAAAAAGAAAAATCAAATGAACAGTTATGACAAACAGCAAGAGAATTACTTAAGTGTCTAAATACAAAACTACTATCTAGAAATCAATAGCCTGGTAGGGATTAAGATTGTACACTGATCACACACAATTAACTTCAATCCCTTCTAAAACCCCCATAACAACAATAAAGTTCCTACTGACAAGGAAAAGAAAAACAAAAAGAAGAAACAAAAGGAACAAAATTTGATAAGCCAAAGAACAGGTGGATAAGCAGTTAACCAACTCTGCCTGAGATAGCCAAACTCTAAAATAGTGATGGAAAAGGCTGAGAAATATCCTGACTTATGCTCAGAATCTTCACGAGGCTCAAAGCCTATAGCTCCAGATATCACGGGACTAGGGAGCAGGTGGCTAAAACAGGAGGATGTGAAATCCCAAATCCCTTCCCTCCCTCTATTTTGGTGATGACAGGTCTTTCCCCACCCTGGCCCAAGTTCTAGACTTTTATTCTTTGGAGAGGATAGAACATAAGGTCTTTGTCTCAGGTTCACCAGGCACTGGTGAATGCTTCAATAGCATGCATATGAAATGCCCCCTCTCTCACTTGATTTCCAGAGAGCTGGCATCCAGACTTCTATCACGCAAGCAGCAGACTATTATTCCCTGGAAAACTTCTTTCTCAGAAACACTCCTTTCTGTGGAATTAGGAACACGAAAAAAGGAAAGACCTAAAAATAACGACTTTAAAGATTCTCCATCAACTGGCCAAAAAAGAACCATCCTACAGTGAAGCTCCAAGCTGAAAGTTCCATCCACTCTTCCAATCAATTTCTCCATTTCCCAATTCTTAATCATGAGTAGACCTGTCAAGAATTATGAACTATCTGGAACAAGCTTCTAATAAGAAAAATAGTTGTTAAAAGAGAAAAAAAAAAAAAAGGAAAGAAAAAAAGGCAGGAAAAAGAAAACATAAAATGAAAACCCACAAACTATTAGTACTCTAGACGGATACATGACAAGCAAAAGACCATATAAAACTAATATTTCTAGTATAAAAAAGAGCTTTTGGAAATGAAAAGCTTAGCAGAAATGGAAAACTCGGAAAAGGGTTGAAAGATAAAGCGGAAGAAATATCAGGAAACAAAACAAAGATAAGAACTGCAGCCACCATTAACAATGTGTGTGTGTGTGTGTGTGTGTGTGTGTGTGTGTGTGTGTGTGTGTGTGTGTGTGTGTGTGTGCGCGCGCGCGTCCCACATAACTTATGGGCTAGGCGATTTACAATCTTCATAGCAATCAGGAAGACAGACACAATTTACTCACTTATAAAATGTGCATAATAAAAATGTATTTAATTGAATAAGATGTGCATTTATAAAGATGCATTTATTGACTCTTATTTAGTTTGCACTTGCCAAAGTAATAAGAGAGCAGAGATGTGAACCCCAATTTGGCTGGCACTAAACCTAGTCCTTTGCACACTGCGCTCAACTACGCTAGGAACACGCTGCTGAGAAAAGTGGCTTTTCTAAGTGGTAATACCTGAGTCAGTGACTTGATCTCCTGCCAGTCTTTTAGTCCCCGCTAGCTCCCTTTCCCTATGAAGGTCCCTCATAGCTCTAGCATCCCACCCACATCCCTTCATCTCACAAAACTATCAAGTAATGTGAAATATCAGCACTTCAGATATCCTATGAACATTACCCAGTTGAAACAATATCCATTCCTAAAAGCTGTCTAACTAATGAAGTGTGCTGTGACGCCTAACAGCCTACGTGCAAAGTCAAGTTTGTCAAGGATTTACAAGGGCAGAGGGAAGGCAGGAACACTACTATGAGAGATGCACTAATCACAGGTTTCTTTTTGATGACCAGTGGAAAACTGATCCGAAAGGACAAAATTGGCAGGACCTAAGACTATACAGAATCCCAGATAATACATGGAGAATCAGATTTAGAAAAAAACAAAATCATTTTCAGACTCTTAATAAAATTATTGATTCAGTCAAGGATTGGTGTTAAAGCCATTAACTGAACAGCTGACAGAGCACTGGGCATTTTATTGTACCAAAGTGAACAGCACATAGGTTACTTCTTAGTAACAAGGAAACAACACATTAACTTCATAATGGAGGCTGTCACTACCAATTCCGTGGTCAGTCTCAGAATCACGGCTAGGGTGAGAACTAGATTATCTCCTCTTTTTTTTTTTAAAGACTATCTCCTGACTTGACCCTGGCTAGAGAGCTGCCAGGGTGCGTAAACACAAATAAATCTTCCTCAAAGAGACGACAAACTCACACAGAAGTATCGCCTCCGTCGACCTGATAACAGTACATTCAGTAATTTTTCTTAATCCAGCGATGAAGAAAAAAGTTATTTCTATCCATAAGAAAGCCAAAAAAAAAAAAAAAAAAGCTAACCAGAAAGCATTAAAAACGGAGCTACCTTTAACTCTTGTTTTAGAACCCTAGAGAATACAAGCGGTATAAAATGTCAGCGCCCGCTCCCAGTGCGTTCCCAGGGATCAGCCTGGCCTGGCTCTGGCGACAGGGCCCGCCCCAGAAACCCGCTGAAGGTAAGAGAAAGGCAAGCGCCACAGAGGCGCACCCTGGCGCGGCGCTCACGGTACTCGACAGAAACGCGGGGACAACTACTCACAGTGGCGGCGCGGTCCTCCTCAGCTTCAGACAAACGTCCACCAGACTGGCCTGAAGGCGATTCCTGGTCCTAAAACGAAGAATGACAAATGATTTAGTGCTAGTCAATTTGGACGCAGCACCGGCTCGTAACCACCGGCAAGACGGAGCAAGGGGACAAGAGGTCAAGGCGTCTCCGCGCTCTCCCCCCTCCCCCACCGCAATGCCGCCGAGACGCCAGGTACAAACAGCAAGGCCCCGCCACTACCACACGAGACTACACGGTCCCTATGAACATCAGGAGGGAGGTGGAGGGCGAGCGCAATCTGGACGCCAGCGGGGAATCCTAGCCCCCGATTCTGCCCACCCTCCTCCGTCCCCGTCGCGCCCGGACCCACTCGCGGGCAACTCGCGTCGCCGCGGGGCGGAAACCCCCGCACTGGCCCGGAGCCCGAGACCTGCCCGCTCCGCGTCCGCCATTAGAAACTCGCCCAGATAAACTGTGACGAGAAGACGCGGCGCGCCGCGGCCCCGGCGGCAGAAGAGGGGACCGGCGCGGGGGGGGCCCGTGCCTTCGCCCCCAAACTTGGGGACCTCGCGCCGTCGCCGCCGCCGGGACGGTGCGACCGCGGCCCCGAGCGCCCACGGAGGCGCCCCTGCCCCCCGCCGCCCGGCCCCCGCCCCGGGCGGCCCGGAGCGACCCCAGCCGCCGGCGGCCGCCCCACCCGGCCCTCGCGGCCGCGCCAGCACTCCCGCAGCCCGCGGGCCGCCCGCCAAGGCGCCTGGGACATCAGCGGAGCCGCCGGCAGCCCGAGACGCCGACGCGCTAGCGGCGACGGCGGCCGCGCCGCGGGGCGCCTGTCCCGCGTCAGTGGGAGGCTCCGGGGGTCGCCCTCACCCATCTCCGCCTCTCGGAGCCTCCGCCTCCGACTCCGGAGGCTGCGCCGCTCCCGGCCACCCCCACTGTCGGCGGTTCTGGGCTGGAGACTCGGCGGAGACAAGCCTCACCCAGTTCTGGCTGCGGCTTCGCTGAACGAACCTCCCCGTCCCCAGCCCCCACGGCTTGGGCAATAAGCGCAACTCCGCTCTGTCCAGTCCCGGCTTTATCGCTGGTGAGGAGGCGGACGCTGCGACAGCACCGGCGCG